GACGACTCAACTGTTCCGATATAACCTACGGACGATATCAATGTTGGTGTTGGTGATTAGGAGGAAGAATAAAGATAGCTCACTTTTGAGAATAGATCCGGGTCGTCTGCAACAAAATTACGCTGCGACATAATCAGTCGAGGGACTATACAACGAAAATTACGGTACTTACCAAACAATCAAGCCCAAGCTCCCCTACTTCTTGAAACTCGTGCACCAGGTTCTCACTTAAAAACCCAAGCTTCTGCCACTTCAATACTTCACCATCGCTATCCCGCTCTTCCTGAACTTTGCTACAATGCCATATATATTCAAGAGCGGACTCATGAAGAGGCTCGACTTCAGGCTCGACAAGCGTCGATTTCTTACGGTATGTCACGCGCACGATATTGGCCTGGAAGTCGAGAATCGAGGAGGTAAGGTCATCTATATTATGTGACGACATAAGTCGCTAAAAACCCATGAGTGGTCCGCGAAACACAAATGGGATATTACGCACAATAACCGCTTTCCGAACATTGAGCCGCTCTAGTTCAGAGATAAACTCATCCCACTCAGTATCATTGACGTGCGAAAGCAGGGAATTGATCAGCATCATGCTGCAGGAGCGTCAGTGCGTGCCTTATTCGAATTTCCTATGCGTTGCGCATACCTATGTAGAATCATTGCAGTATCTGCACTTCCAAGCCGATTTACGACAGTTTCTAAGGATCCTTTCTCCCTCCGCATCTGCTGGAAAACGATCTGGAAACCGTACCGATACACCGAGCCAGGGGGTGCAACAGGGGGAGCTCTACTCGAACTGGCGATCAGTGGCCCAGGCGCATTCATTGGATCAGCTTCAACAAGCTTCTTTAAGATAGCGGTAGCGGGGCGGCAAACGTTGATGAGGGAATTTGGCGAAGAGAGGATTTGGACAACTTTAAAAACGAAAGTGTTGTCAAGGGTTGACCAGCCGTAGTCCAGGTCCATCAGGTTGTGCATAGCTTCGAGGGCGTACTGAATTAGATACTCAGGACTTGACCTTGCACTGAGTCAAAACGACACGCACTGCAAGTGTGTTGCCGTGCTCGGTGCAAATGATTTGTGCGAGCTCGGCAAGACCCCCATGACTCAAAAATTCTTGAGCAAACTTTTCTTCCTGAAAGCACAGTTATTGTTGACATCGGCACCCTGAATGAATCCTCGACGCACTCTAATGAACTTCTTTAATGACCAGAGAGCCATCTTACAGGTTCTCTCATCTCGGACGAGGAGTTTCTGGACGATTTCTGCTGCCTCGATATTGGGACTATTGACTAGCCTGTAGAGCATTAGATATACAGCGTCAGTAATACATCTCGATCACAATCCCAGTATTACACACTTGAGATTCGCTTTGTTCTTGATCTTCTTCCGCAAATTCTCATTTACGACCAGCTCATCGGTATCTTTATCCCTCAAAGCAAAATTGGAGGAAGGCTCTGTCACTTTGAGATTAACGCAGAGCTGCCTGACTACATCATCGACGGTGAGTGTAGGGTCGATTCGAGTGCGAACGGTCACGCCCTCCTTGGTAGTAACATTGTTGGTTGGAATGAGTCCTGTTGACCTGGGACGCGTGGTATTCGTTGCAGGCGGTGCGAGAGTTGTGCGAGAAGCGCCAGGCGCTATAGAACCGTTGGTAGTCGACATAAGGATATTTGCGAGGTAAGAGCGAGATGGAGATATTAAATGAATAAAGATGGTTTATCGAAGCGATCTAGTAGAATCCAGTGGGATATTCCTGAGATGAAAGGCGGTTATCATTCATAAACGGGCATAAGTATATTGCAATAAGTTGTAGTCAGGTATGGAATACATCGTCTCCACCACGCGTTATAAGACACGCAGCTCTGACTGACGTGCAAATATTCTCGGATTTCATCACATCTGTAACAAGAGGGCAATATACTCACAGTATGTTTTGGCCAGACCTTCCACAAGCATTGACAAGACCTGAAAAAAGGGAGATAAGCATGTGAAGCAGGACAATGATGATAATACAAGATTCAGATTATGTAGTGTATCGTCTGCATGTAATGAAAACATTCGGCCTGACGTGCAAATAAAAAGATAGAAAATGGCTCATCAGATAGAGCGAATCTGGGCGGTTACTCACCGAACTCAGGTGCTCTGAGACTGCCAAGCCGCTACCAAAGATGAAGGTAATGAAATAGCGAGATATGCGGTGGTGCAAAAGAATGGACGGTGGTGGGATGAGAGGTGGAAAAGCGTTGTTGAGTCTTGACAACCTGGCCTGCAGACAGGCAGTAAATGAGATCTGCACTGTGACGCAGTACAAGCACGAAACTTTGATGAGTATCGCGTGACTCCCCGCAACAGCACAACAGAGGTAAAGTTTGAGCACTGCCAGAGCAGAAAACAAGCGTGTTTAAGCGCGCAAACCAGACTACCGTGAGATCTTGTTGCCTCCAATCATCGTGAACATCATTCATCGTACCATTTCTTGGACGACTTCGTGGCAGGCACTCGACGACAATCATCGCAACGACCGGAATAATAATGATCTGCGAAGGTTCTTTGAACCCATTCAGGACGAAATTTGACTTTTTTGATGGAAACCTTGTGAAAAGACACGTTTCTATTGACTCTGCAACGTCACTGTCGTATTACTAGTAACTACGTACGTACGGCTGCAACGCTCTGCAACGCTGACGAAGATCTGAACAGAACGAATTAGCGACCAACGAATGAATTCTTCCTCGACGTTAAGTGAGGACCACAGCTACTATGGAATCTCTCTGGCTGACCTCACTGTGTGTAGCTGATTCTTGTAGATTATAATTGATGCACAATGCATTTACTTGCAATTGCAGAGCAACTCATGACGGTTCCCGGTGCAAGTCCCAAGTCAGCCTCTCTGAACGTCATGTACGCACCGAGCGGCTGGCTACTAAACGAACCCGCTTCTCTTTATACCAACTTCTCGGTCATTGGTTTGCGTTTACTGGTTGTTCATCATGTCATCCCATACCCTCCCGAGGTCTTTCACTGTCGAACGCTCGGATTCTCCAGCATCATCATATGGGAGAGCGTCGATGAAGAATCCTCGACCCATCCTTCGAGACTTGCGAAACACTCTAGCACTGCAGGCAACCGAGGGCAGCCGTGATAATATCGAACAAGGTGTTCCCTTTGACACCTCCTCCTTCTCCGTCACAGAAAATCCCTCCTCCCCGGGACGTCGTAGGCACCACCGCGGAAATGACAAGTATCGAGTCAGCCCCATTGCCCTCCCTGCTACTCCGCATACTGTACCCTCGCTCAACATGCCAGGGTACACACTTGTCGATGCGCTTGCCTGTCACGTTTCGAATCGTGATACATCCGCTGAAGAAGAAATTATTTTCAGTCACAAGCGTAGCTCATCGATGATCGTTTCAGATTCTGATTATGGAAACCCCAATATCGACAACAAATCCTTCCTTCTTGAATCCAAACATGCTACCATCCATCACTGTACCAAACCGTTCAATCCGTGGAAAGCTCCGCTGAGCCGTCGCGTCGTCAATCAGAACGCCCTGGTCTTCACCATCCCTCCGTGCTCTCCCACATTCCCACTCAGCCCACCTACTGCATCAAGCTCTCCGATATCTGACCTTCTTTCCAAACGTTCTGGTAGGATGTTCAGGCTCGTCCCAGCCCAGAATGACCGCTTCGTGCATGTTGTTGCAACCGACCCGACTGATTATCGCATCGAAAGCCCACCGGAAAGTTATTGCTTGTCCTCCCCGACACGTATCGGCTTTCCTCCTGATATGCTCGCACTGCTTCAGGAACTCGATGAACTTGCTAGTTGGGTCCAAGATTTTCCATACCCTGAAGAGGCTTCAGGGGCACTTGACACCCTCACCGTTGGTTCGACTGTACCTGTATCATGTCCGCATGCGCTCCGACGGCTCAGCAATGACCAAGGTGACCGTTTCCTCCAACAACCCGTGTTGCCAGACAAAGGTAAGAGTCGGATGCTGACCGAATCTATGGATGATATATCCGAGGTAAATCAATTTGTTTTGTTGGTGTTTTTTCCAGCATTGATCTCCTTAGAAGTGCCAGTTTCATTCGGCCATTCCACCAGCCAACACACCTGTCACACGGAGGCACTCAGTCCGATATATATACGAGCCTCAGGTACATATCTTCCTTTCCATTTACATCATATACTCTTGGTTGATAATTCATGAAGGGCACACCATCATTCTTGGTTGGTAGTTCTACCTCACCGGTCGCATACCCCGCAGAAGGGTACCGGAGTCCACCTCGCGAAGTCATCGTACCTGGTCCATCTTCCATCACCAGTCTCAATGCAAGCACCCCTGTCATCCGAGCATGCGGTCGCCGCTCCGTCCCTAATGTATCACCCCCGCCCTTGGTCTCTCCACCTACTGGCCTGACCTCGTTCAAGGCGTTCTTCAAGAGGTCTCGCTCCAATACAATGTCAGCGTCCCAATCAAACACGTGCGGGAGGGAGAAGAAGAAGTTCGGGTGGTTGAAGATATAACGTATAGCAGTGCTAGTGAATTTCTTCGAATTTTCTTCAAATGTTTCTTCGGATGTTTCTTTACCCTTGTTCTGTTGGTTCTCGTCATATGTATTTGTAGTAGTTTTTCGCTTATAATGCCAATTTCAAATTCGCGAACATACCGGCGTACGTATCGTACATCACCACATTTTGTTCTGTAAGGCCGACAACACAGCCCTGAAGGAAGACCTCAGTACTTTTACAAGTGAGCCATGACCACTGTGTACGCGAAGTAAGTCTGTAGACCTATCGAGTAAACCCTACTGGTCACTGTATGACTTTGGCACTAGTCAGCCTCTTCAACCGGAGGGCTAAATGCCGCAGTCAGCCGCAGCCGTTCGCTTCAGGTGGGGACCATGGTATTCCCCGATGCTTTGGTGCGTCTGCATTGTTCTTTTTCTGCATTGCTTTTTGGTACCGAATGTCTTCCGGCACGCCCTCACGCATCCCTCGTCCTCCGGCTCGCCCATCTCCTTTGCCGTCCCCGCCGTCGCTCGAGATCGCAGCCGTCCTCGCTCAAGCAGGCCCGTTCGACGATCTCAAGTCACTCGTCCCATCGGTCTCGTTCACAGGGAGCTCAGAAGATCATGAAAGTGATTGGGAGGACGTGCCGCCTTTCCCAAAGGATCACCAGCCACCTATATTCATTATCCAAGGTCACCGCGCTCAAGTACCATTCGCTGTTCGTCCAGGTGTCATCGCTCTCGGAGACATACATCCAGACGAACGCACCGCTCGTATCATTCTCTCTGCACCAACAATCCCGCGCATGAACTTGGTCATGAAGGAACAGCTCTTCATGAACACTTGGGTTGTGAGTTATGGATTTTTTTTTTAGTTTGTCACTTTAGCTGACGAAATCGAATGTAGGATAGGCTAACTCCTCAGCGTCCCCCCAGGCACGTACCCTGGACTAGTGATAATTTGGTTCCTAGGCGTGACTGGATTTCTGAGGGTTCCATCTTTCCGGCTGAAACCATCAAGTTGCAAAATGGGAAGATACGACAAGCACGGATGGATCAACAGAGCCCGAATGGATCTTCCAAAGAAACGTTCCCTCATTCTACGCCCTGCATTCCAGGCGTCCGAAGCCACAGGGAGACTGCTGTTATTTCAAAGGAATGTTCCGGGCATCAGGTCGGATGTAATCGATGGTCCGTTCACGTTCCAATGACTGCTATCAAGCAAAATACAGTTTCATCTGGACCAGGACCCATTACACCCATTCGCGGACGAATGGGGACACGGGCACATTTCTCGGCCAGTCCCGTTCTTGAATCTTGCTCTGATAAGACAATAAAGCAACTGGCATCAACATGCCGCAAGTCATCTCGCACGTTGCCACAACTCGGTTCTATTGATTCCCTGGCTATTCGAAGAGGCAAGAAGGTCTCAGGTTTGCAACTCAAGGAAATGGACGATATGGACTATCCGGATATCCCTACGGCCTTCCGCGGATCTCCAACCGTCTGGTCACCGAAATTTGATCCTGGAGTTCCCAGTCCCGATGGAAAAAATTTCACCGACCACAGTAGTATGCTATCAAGTCTCAGATCGCAATACGCCGCACTTAATACGAGTGGGATTTCCATACCTGCGATGCACAACAACAAGGGATGTCAAGATACATTTGTTGACTCGGACACGGACTCTGTATCATTAATGCCATCATCCTCCCGTGACGATGAATGGGCCTTTGAGAATGACCTCGATCTTGATCTTCAGAGCGCCCTTGACAACGTGTCTCGTTGTCCGACACCTTCATTTACGCCCAAGATCGTGCCAGATATGGCAAGGGAGTCTTTGAACATCACTCCGGATCGTTGTTCCGCCCGCTCCAGCCTGACTCGTTCTTTCTCACCTCCTTGTCGGCAGTCAGTAGTCCCTGCAGTCAAGGTTTCTCTAGCGCCCCTGACTGATCCACCACGCGTCCCTCTTCCCCCTCCTCCTGTTTTAATTACTCCTTCTACCCCTCCACGGGTGAGAGGAATTTTAAAGAAGGTCAAGAGCGTTCGCTTCGAGGATGTCAGATGCAGTCAAGATGTGGGCCTATTCGCCGTGCCAGTACCGGAGTCAACAGTAGCAAAACGACCTTCTCCTCTACGGAACAGCTTCGTGAGCCCTATCGATAGCGCCACGTCGGCAGACGCAAAGGAGCCTGTGAATATTGAACCTGCGACAGGTCCTCTTCAAGTTGTGCCGCTGCCCAAGGCAATTCAGGAACCTGTCATCAAGAAGAAGTCGCACACAACGAAGTCCAAGCTCGTTCCTAAGGGTACCATACTCAGCTCTTATCGCACGTCTGAGGTACCCATTCTGAAATTCGTCGACACCAACGCCTGCCAGCAGGTCCCGCCTGTACCCGAGCTCAACGGGTCGGCGACCTCTACTCCTGGCCGTCATAATCGTGTCGCCAGTGGAGAGAAGGAAAACGCGCAAACTGCCTATGCTCGTGCTCGCAAGCGATGGTCGACGATGAACGAGAACGATCTCAGGATGGGAGTCGAGGGTGTTGCACCCAAGAGCCGTCTTACTACGCCTCTGAGGAACATTTTCAAGTTCAAATAAACTACATATTCCTGTCGCTACCTTTTTTGTGTTCTTGACTATTGTCTGTTGGGGCGAAGCCCTATGGTACACAATACCTACGTGCTATCTTATATCCATTGCCTCTTATATTCGTTATTTCGTTAGGCTCTTTATAATTTACTCGTCAAATTCTCTTACCTCGTCATAGTGTTATATGAACCTGGCAACTTCAAGGCCTGGTGGTCTAGTAGTATGATTCCTTGTTAGGGTTACCACGTTTCGAGGAGGTCCCGGGTTCAATTCCCGGCCAGGCCCAAATTTTTACCTTTTTATTCCCCATCGTCCCTGACTTCGGCCTCATAATTAAAGGCGCCAAACCGACTCAGCGGTACTCCCTGCTTTGATCGTACGACAGTCGGTTAACATATGTTAGTATTTCAAATAATGGCCCCGGCGCAGCGCTCACTAGGCCCTCAAACTTGTTAACGGTCAGAAAGAAGCTTGACTTGATCGAAAGATCTGCAATCTTCATATACCACACAGTTCTTCTTTTTTTTTGGCAACACAAAAAGCAATCGGTTTGCGCCAACATCATATCGGCGCTTCTGGTCATAGTACGGAGGAACATCTATCTTCATTCGTCTATGGTCTGTCTACTAGTAGGGAGAGCAGCTACAACACTGTCGCAAAGGGTTGCAAGTTAATAATGTAGGTACCCCACCTTCCTCCGTGCCAGCTCGCGAAATCCTTCCATGCAGCGCTACTTTCACCATTGGTAACTTTGATCCAGGTGAGCCACGCTCCGAGAATACCGTCTGCATACGTGACGGTGTTTCCCATGACGAACTTCCCTCCACCATTCTTCGACAGCCAGTCGTCTACGGCAACAAGGCCTTCCTTAGCCTTTGCCCAATCAGCGTCACGCTGGGCACCAGCAGGGGAGAACTCCTCAATCTTCTTCCCATAGGCTGCCTCTCTGGTGACTCTGAAGTACTTCTCACTGGAAGGATTCAGGATGTAGCAGCTCGTGGCGAGCTGATGAGGGAAGATGCTTCCGATGCTTCCTGTAACTCCGGCCTCTAATGCTGCCATCAACGGCTTTGTGCCGGGGGGAAACAAGGTAGTTCCACTTGGGTAGGTCGTATCAAGGTATTCGGCGATAAGGAAGGAGTCAGCAACAACCTTCCCAGTATTGGGGTCATTAATGATGGGGAGGGTGTATAATGGGCTGCCATCAGCCTTGGCGCCTGTAGCTGGCGCCCCAATTTTTTTCGCAAGAGCTTCGATGTCAGGGTACTCGACCCACTCGGTCTTGTACGCAACACCCTTGATGTTCAAAGCATATCTAGGTGAGCGAAAGGTAAGCGACTGCCTATATCATTGCATACACCGAGCACATACCGGGCCTTCCAGGTATTCGGGGACCACGCATTCAGCGCCAGGGTCGAGGGGAGGTCGTAGAATATAATCGGAGATGACATATTGATCGAGTGACTTTGGGTCTGCCATCTGAAGGGCCATTAATACCTGTTCGGGACTCCGCTACGGGAATGGACAGAACATAAATATGGTGAGTACATCGAAGACTTCTCACAGTATTGTTCACCTCGCCACGAGGACGTTCTTTGTGGCCCCCGAAATGTGTGATTATACACGTCAGACAAGGAAAAGAAACCACATCATACCTTGATAAATATTATAGTCTTAGTGTTTTCGTAATGCCATCAAAAGGTTGTGATCAAGAGACAGAATGAAACATGATATGATACGGCCGTACGCCCGCATCTAAGCATGAGAAGTGGCCCATCGATTCTTATGAACCCTAAGTTTGGTTCTTACTCTCAAAGGCCACGGCCACGGCCGCGACCCAAATGTCCACCCCTGATGGCGCCTCTTCCGGCAAACCCGATTCGAAACCCTCTGGCCATTATAGGCGGGCCCCACTGACCTGGCTCCCCAGGATAGTCCTGCGGGGACTCCCCCGTTTCGCGAGACCGAGGAAACCGTCCTGGCATGGGAGGGCCTTCGTCTTCGTCGTTATCATTCTGAACATCCGTGGGTGGCTATTTTGATCCAGAAATTAATCATCAGTCAGAACTCAGTCAGCCGAGATCTCACCTCCAAATCAATGACGAGAGCTCCCATGTGCCACCCAGCAGCCGCTATAGCAAAGCAAAACATCTTATCCCTCTGTGCATTCCCGTGACCAAAGCTGACCTCCGCGGGCTCGGAGATGCCCGGAGGATACGGACCGCCGTTGGCGACAGCAGCGCTCCTGCGTGCTTCAGTTCCGTAGCCCCCTGGCTGACCGGGAGGAAGCTGGCCAGGATCACCGAGGCCGAGTGCACCTCGAGAATATTCACCCCACGTCAAAAGCTTCCCGGTGGATGTAAGAGCACCGTAATGGTAATCTCCAAGAACAACAGAGATAACGTCGTTGTTTTGAAGTGCGGGGAGAATCAAAGGATTCGAATTGGCATGTGTTTCGTGAGAACCCAAGAGAATGACAGAACTGGAACCGGGAGAATAAGCAACAAAGGTTTGAAATTGCGCAGAGATCTGGGAAACGGTTCAGCAACGTAGGAACGTTCGAAACTTTGCCGAGATAATTACATGAGATATTCGCAAGCTCTGCGGCGGCTTCAACTGGGAAGAAACATAAGCGGGGTGCTGCTGAACCTTGTCGACTTCAGAGAAGTTAGGAAGCTGAAAAGGCATGAGGCAGTTATTGTTCCACGAATAAAATTAACCCACATATTCCCATCTCTCAGACCGAACGGCAACATCGCTTTCAACAGGAATCGAGAGAACATGACCATGATTAGTCAAACCGATGAGCCTACTCTCCAAAGCTGCAAGCTTAACAAGTTTCACAGGTTCCGCTAACCCAAGTGGGAGCTCCGGTAGTTGAGGCAGCGGTGGTAACATTGTGGGTTCTTGGCGAAGCTCCCATGTCGAGCATGGGATAACACCATCCTCTGTAGCGTGAGCCTTTTGGTTCGCGGCATCCATAGCCACATCTTGTGCAGCGATGACGTCCTTGAGAGGTGCAGCGAACGGCCACCACACATACACATCACCAGATTTGGTAAGGACTGACGAAAAGTTCCAGCCAGATTCAACCAGCACAGGTGTAGAATCCAACGTTGTTGCGTTGAGTGCCGGTGTGTCGAGCCTGAAGGGACGACCCCAGCTTAAAAAGGTCCAAACGTGATGCTGATCGTCCAGCGTAGTGGCATGCAGCCGCCCACAACTAATAAATATGAATAAGTGTTTTTACTCGACGCACGAGAACACTCAAACCTAATGCTCCGCGTAGGAGATGGCATATCAAGCCTCAACGGTGTATGAGCTGGTTTTGCCGGTTCGGAGTACCCATCGTGTTGTAGAGCATACGAGGTGCCATTCAAAGTTCCTGGGTGCGATATCAGTTTCTGTCCTTAATATCGCACGATAATCTGTGGACCCACCCCACACATACACGCTACCAGCAGAGTCCAGTGCAAAGAATGCCCTGTTTGGAGTCACATGAGCAGTTTTGTCGTGTGAGACGACGACGACGTACCATCCAGCGGCTGAGAGGCTGACTATACGCGCGCCTGATTTGATCTGCAACTCAACCGGGTAGGGAACATCATGAAGAGTTGTGCTTGGTATTTTCCTCAATCCTAATCTTCCCTTTGAAGTTTCGCTACGTGAAATAATTCGACTTAGCGGAAGAGTAACGGAATCGCGTAATAATAAGACTGCTTACCCCCATACGTAAGTCTTGGGGTTGAGCAAACCTCTATAGAGATGTTTCCATCCGCTTATTCGTGCGGTCCTCTCGTCTGTAAAATTGAAATCCTCTTCCAACTTCCTCTTCCAGAATGTCTCATCGTTGCACAATCGCGCAAAGAAGTGATCTGTTTGTCCCAGATGGATGAGATCTGGAATTGCAAGCCAAGGCAATACATTATCCAAAATAACTTCGATAGGTAAGTCAGAAAGCATAGTCATCGGGTGAATGGTTGTGATACAAAGTCTTAACTGGCAAGTCAGAGAGTACAACTGAGGGAGCTGCGACTGGGGAGCTGCGGTATCAACTGTGCCATGATGTCACGACTCACGCATGTCGCGGGGGGTTGATCGGTTAATCTATCATGCTGCGGGGGGTTGCCTGGTAACCATATTAAGGAGCAGAGACTAAAGACTGTTTTACATGTTAGGATGTCATGAAGCTTTGAATTCGAGTCTCGCGGAGAATCACGCCGAAAAGTCGTCGCAAACTTAGACTACTCGCTAGGGCATGGGCGGCCGCGCACTTAGCCTAGATCGCAGTACGTGGCTATTCAAACATATGTCCGCTTCAACTTGAAGTTCTTGTCAACAACTCATCCGTACATGCCCCCATTTTGCTTAAATCCTGTACGTAGCAAATGCCGGTCGTGCGTAAATCACAAACCCAGCCGCGCCACTTGGCGGCTCTACTCTACTTCAAGTACTATTTGCAGTGGTGGGGGAGACACACACTTCGTAATTTGAAGTCATTCAATTCGAAGCATCTCCTGCCTCGCTCGTTTGGTATGATCCTTCTCATAATTAGGGGCACTGTTACTCCTTTTTTGTAGATTGGAAATGCTGGTCTAGCCAGACAAACTTCACCGGAGGCGTAGCCAGGAACGATCACCAAACGCTATTTTGTATCCTGACCGTCTAGGGCATGGTGTAACATATCAAAACGAGGGTGTCAATGAAGGGCGCCCATCGAGATCGCCGCAGCACTCTGACGGCAGACCGCTCAACTCAACTGATAGTGGCGTGCTCTCTATTGCTCTCTTTCTTTTTTGTAGTCGCACGTTTAGCATAATCCGCTGCAGCTCCGCACCGGTGAGCTAGGAACTCCGCAACAGCCTGCCCCAAGCTGCTCTTATTTTCACTTGGCTCCAAAGGCCTCTTTCAGCTCTGGAAGTACTGCATAGCTATGTGAAAGTATTTTATATCACATAACGACTACAACCTTGTTTTCGCGGCGCAAAATATTTTTGTTTTGCTCGGTGAGTTGTTTAATCTGATAACAATGTCATCCCGATAAGCTGACACATACTTGTTGACCCATAAGTACGACAAGTTTCACGTGTCTTACGCGTTATTTGCCGATCGACGGTGTGCACTCGTGATAAGTGAACCCTAACATCCACTGCCGTACATCTTTGACAGAAGTACCCTGCAAACCGATGTGACCCCGTCCTCGCTCGCGTTCGGCCTTTGGACCGACCGTGGTAGAGTTAGCCAGTGATACATATTTGTTGGTCACAAAAATACATGACCGGCTTCTCAGATATGAGGCATTCAAAGATATGTGAAACGCAGTCACTGCCATCATACGAAAGGAGATAATCATCAACTTCGCCAAACACGTGACGGCCGCCAACTACAAAGTTATTATCCCCACAGTGGCACGCATGAGGCATTTCGAGTACGAGATCTAGAACGTTAAAGGGGTCGGAAGGTGTATCGCTCATGAATTTATCAGATCTTTTTGTCGTAGCCAATAGTGGTGAAGCTTCTCAAACTGATGGGTGACGTTTGCCCATTGATATTTCTTTATCGGTCATTGAGAACAATTGTAAACCTTTATGTACACACTGTAGATTAAAATTGAATTTGAACCTCATTCTAAGTTTACTACTTATAAATAACAGACATATCGACTCGTTCAATACGTTTGCATTACATAGATAACCAAATCACACCCAGCATAAACTACATCGTGGAGTCCGGCGGCCCGTCAAAACAAACCAATGCGGTACCCGCGGTACAAATAAACATATACACGTAATATTAAGCCGCAGACAAGTACTTACGTCGCCATATTGATTACGCTGACGTGCACTGGCAGGGCCAGACGGCGACTCGGTGTTCAAGCAACCGGCAATGCGGCGGAGGGCCATCATATCAACATGATGCGCTATCATCGCCCTCCACAATCGACCATGTGGGTGCATCCCTACACGCCGCTCGCCATGTGTGCCCATTACTACACCCAGCGCCTCGAAGGTATGACTAGACCTTCGGAACTGTCATACAGCAGAGCTTCATCACCATGACCTCTTTCGTCGAGGATCGAGTTTCAGCTGGATGAGCCATGTTCCGTCGTAAACAGCTCGAGTCATGCCTCGCAGTATGAGAAGGAGCAGATTAATAACCTGATCAAGTCTGTATGTCAGTCCAGCTACCTTATATATCGTATAGGTGTAGGCAACATAACGTACTTGAAGAGTCTGAAGAACAGTTCTGAATAATTACCGAAATGTCCGGTCTTCCTAGGAAAGGATACAGCCATCATGTGGAGAACCCAAGTAAACCAATGGATAGACGATAATGATGTGGATTGACAAGGGTGTGATTTTCCTCTGATCAAAAAGTTTGTGATCAGCCTCGAACGAAGTGCCTGTCTGTGGAGCGGAAACTTGCGGCCGCCATGAGAAAAGTCGGGCGCAACTGAGCACGGCCACAAAGCCAATATGCGGGCGTCGTCGTCGCAGCAACAAGTCCTTTAGCATGCGCGGCATTGCATGAGCGTGGCTCGATGTGGGCAATTCGGAAACAGTCCTGCTAGATTTCTGTTGCGTGGCGCAATATCGACCTCATGGCACCTTGCACTGCACTCTAATACAAGCGATATTATATCGCCTGCATCAAACCTGCATTGCAATAATTGCATAAAAACAAACTCACTCGGATGAATCTTCGCAGCGTGCAGAAAACTCTATCGATGAATGTGATCGCGATGGGTGCGGTTGTTACATCATGTTCTCACGAGTTCGGAGCTTTCAATACAACGTGCCCTCTATAGAAGTCCATGATAGACCACAGATGGTGGCACACATTCAAAACAGCCTGATCTTGCAAGTGGCAGCTCTTCTCAAGTTAAATTTTATGAGCGGTTGGATTACACAGTCAGGGACCTCCATATCTTTCGAAGTACCATTCAGAAGGAAGGAAGAAGTCAGGAATGAAATGTCGACCCAACTTTTAAGAATCTATTTGTTTCGTTCCTACTCATGTACAGAAGTAACTATTACTGGGATGGCAAGTATGATCCGTAAAGTACAGCTCCATGATTATTGGGCCAAAAGTCTCCTAAGCAATATGAAGGAGTGTCCCAAACATGAACGAATAAAATATGACAGCATAGGAAAAGGAGAGGAGAAACTAGTAATGTATGTACTTAGTAGTAGGATAATAGTCAATACCATGAACAATATAACTTCAACAAAGATAGAGGCGTTGATGCGTGGCATAAAAGGCATAAGCATCATGAGAATTCCGCGGTATCGTGATAAAATCCCAAAGGAAAGGAATGAGATCGTGAACGCAGGACTGCTTGTCGTCAAATCATCCACTCCGTCGCGTTTCCTCGTAGCTTCCAATGCTCCCATGCCCAGAACCAGGACGGTTGTCCGGGTATACACCATACGAAGCATACGTATTAAGGTCTGTGGTGGCTCCCGCATGCTCATAACCTGGGAGAGGTGTCAAAAGCGTGCTGTTGGTAGGAAGGCGGGCCATGGCTGTGTGCGATGAGGGCATATTTGATGAGTGGGTGGCGGTGTATGTAGGACTGCTAGTGCGGGAAGCGGAAGGGAAGAGGCCACTGAAACGCTGTTGCCGGCGTTCGTAAACGTCTTGCATGTCAATATCATGCATCTCCTCCGGAGAGGCGGTTGGAGTAAACCGATCAACATGGGAACCTTGCTGCGGATGCGAGCGAAGTTGGTAGTCCACGTCGGCGTACGAGTCATGCATACCGCGCGAGAGATAAGCATGGTGAGCCGACCTCCCCATCACTGCTGACGTAGCAGCACGAGCATCAGCTTCCTCCTTTTTGGACTTCCGCCATTGTTTACGAAGCTCTTTAAATTCTGCAAGTGCACAGTTAGTAATGGTGTCAAGGGTTATAAATAATGACGAGAAGTCGATATTGTCATCGTGAGGTGCCGAATACACCCCGACTGAAGTAAAATGCAAACATGAAGACTCACCGTTTGGACTACGCTTGACACCATGTTTCTGCATCGTGACGTGGGCATTTAAGTGGTTTAGAGTGCCGTATGCCTTGGTGCATGAAGGCCATGAACATTGATAAAGTCTTTCAATCTCGTCGTAACGCCGCCTTGGACGCTTCTTGACTGCGTTTCCAGGCAAGGCCACGAATGAGTATTGTTTACCGTCAGAACTCGAGCCTGAAGCGTCAACGAACCGCCTGACCCCGTTGGACGATGTGGAAGTGCCCGTACCAGGCGGTGATGGACCATATTCTTCGGAAAGGCTGCCGTAGGGCATACCCATTGTTGGGGAGCCCTCGCCACCCGAAAAATTAGGGTTGAGAGGTGATATGGGTTCTTCCAGGTCGACACCGTCGTAACAGTGTAATGAAAGTTGATCTTTGTTGTTCCACGACGATCCCGAGAGTGGATCACGCACAGACCCTGAGCTTAGCGTACGTTGAAGAGACGAGGCGTAATTCCCATACAATCTGGGGGATGATTGTGACGACGTGTAGTGGTGTTGGAGCTGTTGATATCGTGCGGAGGCTAGATCGGTTGAAGAACTCGTGGAATAACCGCCTATTACGCTGCCATACATGGCTGGCTCGGACATGCGGCGTTGTTCCAAGAGGGCATGGGCGTATTTATCGGTTCCACGGGAGCTAAGGTTCGACGTAATTGGGTAACGCACCATATCTGGTGAACAGGAAGATGCCGATGTAGGAAAATGATGCTGGTGATGGGGAGCACTGTATGGCTGAGGAAATGAAGCGGTCGGATGATCATCAACGGAAGAAGGGGAACCTGAAACATAACGAGTTCCGTTGACTGAGGATGGATCTTCGGCAGTGCGAGTATTGGACACGGAGGTGTAATTAGATGTAGGTGAAGTATTTGGAAGTGAAGTATATGGTTGAGGAGTCTGAGAAGAGGATGCTACGTCATACAAGGTATGTGGATCTGAATGAGAGCCTTCATCGAACTGAGTTCGGGATGATGTGTAGGTGTAGTTTGTTCCCGTAGGCTGGGAGGAGTAATCATGATCATTATCTACGGTCATGGGATGAGGAGGATCCAAGAGACTGGAAAGGTCGTGAAATAAGAAGTGTTGAGAAACGCGAGGACGCGTCTGATTAAGTTGCTGCTGAGCAAGTGCAAGAAGAGGTGGTGGTTGGAGGAGAAGTGGTGCCTGCATTGGATGCGAACCTGAAGAAGACGGAATCTAGCGGATGTGTGAACCGACTTAGAAAAAGAAGACGGCTTGCGGAATGAACAAGTTGAATGGATTCGAGGAATATTGACACACCAAGATTGTCCGATTAGGTGGAAGAGTTAATATACGTTACGGGATGGAGTAATAAAACATACGTGACAAAGCGCGAAGCTTGAGAGAGATGAAATGGTAAGCAAATCTGTGATGAATCCAAGCACCGGAATGAAATGAAGAGGGCGTACTATCCGCAACTGTTTCGTCCCCAAGCAGAGCGCGCGGGCAGGTTGCAGCTACGAGCTGTGCTCTGTCTCAACCGGTTCGCGCTGATCGTTGTCTTCTCTTCAATTCAATATTGTAATGTCAAATCTGAGATCAAACTTCCAATTTCAAATTAAAAAAAACCCATTTTAATGGCACATTATTTCTATATTTAGCAGTTTACGTGCCAATCGTTTTTTGCCCCGAATAACTCACATCTGCCCGAAGGTGTCCCGATACACATGACCAGCCTCTCGGTCATCCAGTTGAAAACCGCTTGCCGCAAAACCCATTCAGCACTGTTCTATACTCCAGCGTCCACCACGGAAGTTCTCACAGGCTTCAAATTTCCCCAATTGTCTGTTCCGTTCAGTACTCTCTGAACTTTGCTTTGAACACAATAATACCGTCATCGTGCACATGGTTTTGCGTTGATGCCATCATCATGCATCTTTGATAACGCGGTCCGCCGGTCAGCCACAAAACGTGCCGTCACAATTAGTCACACAATTATCTCCAAAAGTGTGACTTGCTACTGATGTCGCGTACGAAGAATTATCAGATTTACTCGACGTTTTCCTCCTAACTTGCAAGCGACGGGATGAGCGCAGCCACGAGATGGAGCATGTGGTGCCCGTCACTCAATTGCCTGCGCATCTCCCTTTGTTGACCAAGTTCCAAAGTGAATGCTCCCGGTTGGTAGGCAGTCATCGCTAACCAATGTCGAGTGTTATGACATTGCGCCCCCACTTAATTCCTTGTGGCTCGCTAGTAAAATCATGGCGGTGAGGGCAATCGGTGTGGTTTCTGCGGAGTGTACATGGTCACCACCCTGTTGAACAGCCAGGCCTGTCAGACTTTTCTCGATGGATTGATAAATTACATATGTAGTACAGAGCCACGATGGTGGAAGTATTATACAACAAGTTCGGAATATATTCAACCGACGGAATAATGTTCTCCTATTGATACGATCGGCAGACCTGCAGTCAACGCGGTGATTAAGTATGCAAAGAGTGCGAGCATGAGTCAGCGTGATGGAGCAGGTCTGTTTCAACCGACCACTTTGACTCGGGGCGCTTCCGGGATGTCTCTGCATGTACCCCATTTGCAAGTTTGATGTGCCCAGGCTCGGATCACTTTAAACCATCATTATGAAAACATAGAGATCGCAGAAAATAAAATGGCGACAAAGTTGGTTTCAGGTTTCAAGTCCGAGGCAGATTGAGCACAGCGTCTGATGGCAAGGTATGACATCGGGTAGTTAACAACGCTCCGGACAGGCGCAGGTCTCGGAGCCATCGTCACTGATAAGCTGATTTAAGTCCCGAGCCTGTGCAGGGATCTTTGTAGAAAGTGGTTTGCTTAAGGCCGTTAAGAAGGTGATAGACGACTAATAAGCGCATTTGAGCGTACCTGAGCACAGTTTTTACGTCGGTCTTCGTGTCCATGGGAGTTTATTTTTCAGCACAAACTGATCCTGACTAAGAATCATCAGCGGAGTATGAAACAACGCAAAGTCAGGGGAAAGGGTGATAATGGGGCATTAACCAACCCCCAGCAAACTGTGAGAAGCAAGGTTGGTTTTCGGCATGAAGCAAGGTTAGTAGACGCGGCTCCGTGTCGGGAGAAGCATGATTCGGTCGGCCGCCCTTGTCGGGTCGGGCACAGCATGGAGTCTCGACCCTGTAAATCCAATCCAGTTGCGTCATTTACGGGGACGGCCCGCAGCGGGAAGTTGGCTATGCTTTGCGCAGTAAGTAAGTCCCTGCAAGGAATACGTACTGAAATGTGTGTACATACAATGTACATCAAACCACATGTGAACTTAATTACTTTGCGGCACCCTCAAACAAGCCTCGAAGCACTTTTTCAATCGGAACCTAGTATTCAACCACAATTAGTAACAGCGAAAACAGCGGGCCACATTGTGAATAGCACAGGCACATCCATACGTGAATGCCTCACGCTGACCGTGTGCTAATTTTCTATTTGCGCCAGCCAGTATATTTGAGTAACCGAAGTATCATGGCGCCACAACGAACGAACCACTTAATATGACATCTTAGTGCCAAGCGCACCGACTCGTTTATGCGAGAAGCTGCCAAGTTTCCTGATCAAGTTAGCACTTACGATACAATCAATCCACAGCACCTTCCTAAACGGGTCGCTCATCCCGTCCCATACAGCGCTTCTTCCATTCGCGCTACAATGACAAGACCATCATCCCGAGTACCAGCCAACAGGCCGATGACACGGAGCATCACGGCACTCACCCTCAGGCGCTCCACAAGGCTTAGCGGGGTGCAAGGTAAACTCACAACAAACTTTGATGCCAACCTTAAAGCACCCGCTAACTCGTCGTTGACGTACTACATTACAACTGATCATAGTAATTCACGCGCATACAACTCTGCCACACCAGCTCATCACACGAAAATCAAACAAATCCGTAACAAAAATATGCAGAGATGCAGAGCCTCCACGCCAGTTCAAACATGGAACACCGCGCGCGCAGGGGACTGCGATACAGGATGTTGGCGAAGCTATCGGTTGTCCATCCCCTTCCGGTCCCCATAGTACTTCTACTTCGCCTTTATCTGACAATGTTTCCGCCCGAGAGACGGAATTAATCCTAAAGGAGAAGGACTTCCGATCCAAATCTCGAAAACTCGAAAAACAACTTGCCACTGTATCTCGCAAGGAGAGAGAAGCCGCTGCCTTGCTCGAAGAATGCAAACAACGGCTGGAGAGAACCACCATACGGCACCTTGAAGACTACTTTACGTGTCCATTGTAAGTAACATCAAAAAATTCCGAACATTGTCAGATGAACTTAATTACTTATGCGTTCTTTCGACAGGTGTTTCGAGATCATGTGAGTCGTTTATCTGTTCTAAATGGACAACGCTAGATTGATGTATAGGGCGTGCCCATATAGTTTGAACCCACGACAGTGCGGGCATACCTTTTGCGCCACTTGCATTCTCAAATGGTTCTTCTCCCGATTGCATCGCGTGTGTGGCAGCTGGCATCAACCCGTGGACTGTCCCATGTGTAGGAGTGCATTATTGTACACTCCAGATAACGTTCCCCGTCCAGAATCCTCCTTCCCTTTCATACCAAACAGAACAGCTGATAACGCGATTCGTGGCATGATCAACACTCTCGCAAAGCAGGCTGACTCTGGAAACGTTTCTGCCTCTAGCTCACTTGCTGACTGGGGAGAAGATGGTCACGCAAGGCAAGAATGGTCAAGAAAAGAAAGGCATGTTGCTCCTTCAAGTATTCATTGATTTTTTCTCAAGTGCACCGTTTTAATTAGAAGTGGACGCCATGAGATGACGTCTCTCGCTACGTCGTGGATAAACATGCACGGGGACGAATTTATTACCATCAAAAACAGACTTGAAGTATGAAATGACTCGGTGAGGTTCACGATAAGACAGACTGATGCGGAATGGAGCGAAAGTTTCGAGTACGAAATGACAAGTACTCGTCAGCACTTTTATCAAATTGCACTTATCAGGGTTTACAGATTCATTGAGACTCATCATTGTTGACTTTTTTCTTGTTTTGTAAACCGGTAATTTGGAAATGTACAACTATCGTGGTGTATGTATTCGTGTTTTCAAATAGCGGGACCTGTCACGGCTACTACATTCATAATATCACAGATAGAAACAACGCTCTCTCAAACCGCGCATACCTAGAACATCCTGAACAACAATGTGAGCTAGATCTGACTTGGAGTTGTGGCGAATCAGCACGTACCCAATCCGCGGGTGTCAACCAGATATCAGCAACCGAATCCATCTTACCAAGCACCGCGGCACCTTTCCACGCCAGTACACGAGGGTCAACCTCTTTTGGAGGGGGGATAATCTGAACCTTGTCCATACTGGGGACCAATGGAGTGGCAATCGCCTGCAGCCTTGCCCAGTGTCTCAGTATATCTGATGTGTGAATATGTTCCGCGACTTACCTGCTCTCTAATGCATGAGCCATTCCAGGTATCAGGGCGCTTCCCCCAATGACCAGAACGGCCTGGAGGTGCTTGCGAATTTTATCATCGCCCCCAGATGCTCTCGCACTATTGAAGATAGCAACATCGAGAGGAAGTTTACTTGCTTCAAAACAGACATCGATACCGAGATTCGGGGCTACTGGTACAGAGGACTGTGAAGGTTGAGGCTGAGGAGCAACAGGGATAGGAGATGGTTTAATGTCGCTCTCTACATCAATTACTTCCATCGGAGCATCAGCAGGAACTCCCCCCGATGCTCCTGCAGTGGATTGTGCGGAAGATTCTACCGCCGGAGGTGGTGTTGCATGCGCAGTCGAAGGCAGTGAAACCTCTTGCTGTTCTTGCTTGCCGCCATTCTCTAAAACCGCAATAGCCTCTGCTTCAGTCTTTGAATACAGCCAGGCAATTTTACGTACCATCCTGTGACTGAGTCATGGGAATCGGAGAATGACGGACATCCGTCGGCGCTGTAGAAGGCGGTGGAAGTAGATGTTGCGTTGAGATGATCATCGCTTGTGTCTGACGGCATGATGTAAATAAACCCTATCCGTGGCCAGGAATACGTACGACATCCACCGGATGCTCTATAATTTCTTCAGTGACGTCCGGATGGGGTATGGAGCGCAGACCAATGTGCTTCCTGTCGAACTCTATCACACGGGGCTCGAATATGCACTAATGTAAGTATCGAAGGGGACATTTGGCAGTTAGATTGATCAAGGCCTGTTGTCAGCGAAACGCACCATCGGCGCAAGTATGATCTCGTCATATGCTCGTAAGCCATATTTTTCCGTGGGTTTACCGGGCTTGCGCACTACAAAGTCATACAGGTTGAGGGCAACATCACCCTGCAACTCCTAAGCGGTGACAAAGACATGACCTGCGATGACTCACCTCCGCCAGTGTGCATAGCCGTGCTTTCAAATCCTCCATGACGGCCCAGTCGTACCATCGTGCGAGATTAATATCGCGATAGGGAAAGCTGATTCGTTCCAACAGGACGTACAAGAACTCAGTAATATCGTTTCCTCCCATATTAAGCGTGATTCTGACCGATAATCAGCGGTAACTTTTGCATCAGATGTACACCTTACCTCGAATCAGGGATAACAAGACCTTCATCCACACATGCTATGCTAGAGTTGACAGCACCAATATCGACAACACACGCACTACTGATTCCGGCGCCGTAGGTTGCCGCCAATGATTCCTGCCTGGTGTTAGAACTGGTTGATATTTATATACGCGTCACACACCTGTTGCACACATATTTGCTTGAAGCCTAGTGAAACTAAAAGAATGTTGACGAATTCGCGGACGTATGCCCGATCATGGAAGTCAGGGATCACAAGAACTACAGAATAGTCCTAGTGGTATTGAACGACACCAATTATACAATGGATCAAAGATGGCGAACCTTGTAATCAGGCCGTCTTACGTTGAACTTCTCACTCAGTATAGTACTGATAATAGTTTCAATATCATCCAGTATCATTTGGTGTGACAGATAATCCCTGGTGTTGAAGTTCTTTCCATGGATCGGCCACTTCACTGAATAATTCAAGAGTTGAGGATCGGACAACCGGAGTGCCTGAAAGATTGAGAGAACAACACTTATAATTAAAGTATGGCACATACTTTTTCACCGACCAGAACTTCTGAATCTTCCAAGGGGTCCTGGATCCAGTCGACAAGGAACGGGTCATTAACTTCGGGAATAATTTCAGGCTTGAATTGCTCGTTAAAGGTCGACGCGACCTTTGCCGCGTTGCATGTGACGCGAAGTTTGTAGAACCTCATCCGCTCGCGAAGAGAAACAATGATTGACCCCATCTTGGCATCAAACTGTTTGAGCATCTTAGCACACTATGCGGCATGGTGAAGGAATGAAAGTATGTACGGGATCATCCGAAGTGATGTCGACTGCGTATTCGTCTCCGTCGGGACTCGCAGAAGACAACTGTGGCACTTGCCCTTTCCTCGGACGCGAAATACCCTCGACGTGTGTCGGAACCGGCAACGGTGGCTTGTGTCTACGCGCAATGACATTTGGAATGGATGCAGGTGTGACATCAGATGCCTTTCCGATTCTCAGAAAACGCGATCCGGGGTGGATAACAATAACGTGAGAGCCACGCCTATTCTGAGCAGCTCAGTATTACCATATGAAAGACCAGCCCAATCATCCAAATTACCCACCTCTGTTCTGGTGAGGGAGCAATTTCCTCTGCCACCAATTCTTTCTTTCGCGCTGCATTCCGCGACCAAATGCTCTGTGTTTCCGATTTTAAGTAAGAAGTGCCCACATGCTTAGGGTTTGGTCTGATACGATCGTCAACACTCGAAATGTAGTCATGGTGTCAACGTACGCCAGGGGGACATGCATAGACGTGTAACGCATGCCAGAGTCATCTTTTTTCGCGTTGGGTATTCCCCTTGGCATATGGTGCTGTGTTTAGTTTGTGCAGGCGAAAAGTAAGAAAAACAAGTGCAAGTATGAGATGAATGATGGATATAATCCTTCCTTCTGGAATCTGCGTATGGATCGGCTTCTGCCGGCGGTTGGATGGTTCGAGGGCTCTCGAGGGTCGAACATTTGCTAATAGCAACTAATAGAAAGTAAAATTGCAGATGACTATTGTATAGGTACAGAAATGTAGAACATGTGGATATCTATTTAAATGAGTTGAACGAGACAACAGACACTTGTTACCAAAATGCACACCTATGAAATATAATTGAGCTCAATACAATCAGGATAACAAAGTCATCTTACCATCCAGAAAAGCATTGACAGAGGTTCTCAAGTGAGGTGGCCTGCAAGATAAGTTTATCGACTTGAGCAGGAACGGGAAGGACAATGTCGGGGTTAAAGTCACGCCCTGTTGATTAAGAGAAATATTCAGTAACGCAAAGGTGCAAACAAACGGAAGAGGATGAACCTGTGAGCTTGTGCTGGACACGATTGTAGACAAGTAATGCACGCTCGTTCCGGACTTCTTGCCTCGCTCCAGGTCCCCCGACAACCTCTGCAAAAGGATTAGTTTCTCCTTTCGGGGTGTACGCTAAATGCATACCGTTGAAAATGTCGTTTTCATTCGCGCGCAGCTTGCGAGTTGGACCTTGAGGATATCCCGATACTTTAGCAAGTTCAGCAGCACGAACAGGATCGGTTTCGCCATCTGCTGTTCACATGAGTCAGTCGAATGATAATAGTAAAGTGAAGCACACCTTCAGGTCGGCGTGAATCAACGTCGGCTTGCATAAGCCGCCAGTTTATCAGGGGATCATAAACAAAGGCCTCCAGGACTGCCATAAGGGACTCCTTATTCGCGCGCAGCACGGACATGGTAATTTCACAGGTATGCCGGAAACTTCCTTCAATGCCGCTTATCTGCACCGTCATAGTGAGCTTAGGAATGCCTACGGTCTGTTACGAAAATTACCTCCATGGCATGTGTGAGCATACGAGTAAGTCTGAACGGAATCTTCTCGGGGAACTTCTCGCGATGCATGGCGACTTCAAAGCAGTCACCGAAATCGATGTGAACAACTTTGCCGGTCGTGCGCTCCAGTAATAGATTGGACGGATGGCGGTCGCCAAGACCCAAAATATGGCCAACCATGCTGTTCACTGCCAGAGAGCGGGTGTAGGTCGCACGGCGTTCAAGCCAGTGCTCTGAATTTGCGCTCTTCAGCCATAGGACGCGATAGAGATCCTGACCGGTGGTATTCTCTAACGCATATTCAAATACTTCAACCTTTTGTAGTAACGTTAGGTTCTCGTAGTCCGGTGCCATCTGGGACATATCAGTAGATGAGACATGCCCTCTAAATAGTAATACATACCTGGAGCATTAGTCTATACTCTATGTTCAAAAGAACTTTGCGAGAGTCTCGATAGTCACGAACAAGGACATGCAAAGTATCGCTGTCCTTTACCCAGCCAAAGAGACCGGCGTTGGGTGCCAATGGAATGACAGAGTAACGCTGGATGTGTAAGCGTCGCTTGAAGCTGTTGGTATCAACGGACAGAAGGGTATTGACAAGACTGAACAACTGCATAACACGCTCGTCTTGACGCAAGTCTTCGTGTCCTGTATGCAAAGCAATAAGCGATGTAGCAGTGTTGGGGTGACCATGCTATTACCTTTCAAACCATATTGGTAGTCCTGGCCATCACTGCCCTTCAGGGATAGTCGCCGTGGTCGCTGCTTGGAAGCTATAACAGTGAGCTTGGTGGCGAATGATGCAATGCGAACGACATCTCGGCCACTCTGATATGTTCCTTAGGTTGGCTAATAAGTACAACGCAGTACCAAAGTAAAATCCAAGGTACATACCGGGCATCGCCAGATCAAGATCGCGGGCTTTTAGCAATTGCGGTGATACATATTGCAGGTCCAATGTAGTCAATTGGGGTAACTGCTTCTCCACTTTTCTAAAGACCTG